CTACGGGCACTGCACTAGTATATATAAATGGAGAGCCGTAAGCCGCTGCAACCATGCGCGCCGCCATTTATCACAAAAAAAAACATTTAACATGTTTATTAATTAACATGACCAACTACTTTTTAGATAATCAAGACATGCAAATTGGTAAATTTATTAAAGCCATATCCACTGAAATAAAGGTCCAGTAACATTTAGTATCTATTGTCAGAAATTGAATATATTATTCATAGGTAAGTATTCATTAGTGTATAATCGCCTGAAAATAAGAATCTTGTATTCGTTACCTTAGAATGAGCTAAAGCTAAAGTTTTTATCTACAGACACTGCAGGTTGCCTTCCATGGAGTCCACCATGCAGAACCAGCATGTTTCCATAGTAGCCCAGAATGGACAAACCAAACCCTGGCTGTAGACAGGAGTGTATGATTTATTTATGCTTGTTGCTGCCTCCATAGTTTCTTCTTCGCTCTTGGAAGGTGAGGGTGAGTGCAACTACACCATTAGATGTCACTAACTCCTACACACTGGTCCTTTAATCACAGCATAAAACATGAATAAAATAAATTCCATATCAGCCATTTACTTACATTCTGAAACCATACATACATACATTGTGGAATACAGTGATTCCCAAAAAATATCCATGCAGACATGACACAGGATTTTGTATTTACAATACAACAGCGCCTCGGAAAGAATATGCAAGAAAATAGGATAGATGGAGGAAAAAGTAGCTTATCCTTGGTATTACGCCAAAATGTGTAATCTGCACACTCCAACACCAGTCCACCGTAGCAGTGTCACGCTTTGCCTCGCCAGTTTTCAACACGGCCTCATTTCGCGGTCAAGTTAGCAATAATAAATATATAACATCTGGTTACACACAGAGTCCTGTGTTTGTTTGACCCATCCATCCACACCAACTGCTTTCTATGTGGACTTTGTTACTCTTTATACTACACCTTAATAAGGTGGAGATATACTGTGTATCATGCGTTAACGTCACAGATGTTTTCTCCTTTTTCTAAGGATGTGCACAACCAATCACCAAATGTGAGGCAGCCATCATGCATACACAAATATGTAGTTAAAAGCAAGAATATCACCAGGTGTACTCGGTGAGCCAAAATGTGACACTGAAACAGTATCCTCTAGTGCAGTGGTTCCCAAACTTTTTCTTTAAGGGACCCCATTTTTATCATTGACTAAACTAATGACCCCTGACTAAATGCCTTTTCCTATATCAACTCACTTGCACTTCACACACTAACAGAAGAGTGCTATCTGCATTAAGGGTTAGGGTATTACAGTAAACAAAACAGGTCAATGCGGCACAGCTGCAGATAATTCCAGCACAACCCCTGAAAACCACTGAAACATCTATCTCCCTGGATATTGACACTGGCTGCTTGCTCATTCAGCTGTAAATTACTACATACCCTTTCTCTACATTCTCCTTTTATTGACTGAGGGGATTGACTGACAGATCTTTTTTTTTCCTTCTCTCATCTCAGATATTTTCCTCCTGTAATTATAAATCTAGCTTGAAAAAAGGGATAACAATGATCAGGCTTGCAGTCATTGAGCTAACCCAGGGGTCTGCAACCCTGTGGCTCTTTAGCCCCTGTCCAGTGGCTCCATGTGGCTTTGAATTTTATCACTGTTGTAAGCCTAACGTAATTCTTAAATTATCCAAGTGTAAAAATATGTAGCCTATACATGGAATCAAATAAATGTCTTTGCATTTTGTTAACTAAAATGTGTCTGGACACATAGCTGACAAAGGCTTATGGTTGTCCAAGTTGAAAAGTCTGAGAACTGAGTTTGAAGTTGTCACCCATCAAAAGATCATTCTCGCTCAAAATATAAAATTTTGCTGAACTGTTTGACTTTAAGTATGCTTTATAGAGT